GTGCTGTGGGTCGGGGTTCAGGGCTGTGGGTCGGGGCTGGGGGTCGTGGGTCAGGGCTGTGGGTTGGGGCTGTGCAGCTGCCCCACGGGGAGCTGGAGCAGGAGCCCTACCAGACAGGCGCTGCATCAGCCCCCCAGCAGCAGGTTAGCGGTTGGACTTGGTCATCTTACTGGTCTCTTCCAACCAAAACAACAGCAGGAGGCTGGAGGCCAGACAGCGTGGCAGTGGGACAGACATGCCCACAGCCTCCAGGAACACCAGCCCCACAGCAGTGTCCCTGCTCCAGGAGCCACAGGCTGGGTCCGCACAGCCCAGCACAGCCCAGCACTGCCCTGAGCCGTGTGCTCCAGCCCGGGTGGGAGCACTGGGTGCTGCACCAGCTCTGATGAAAAGCAGCAATAAGGCTGTGGCAGAGCCCCGAGGCTCAGGAGGGCAGCGGGAGGGCCCGTGCCCTGTGGAGGTCTGTGCCCTTGCAGCTGCCCCACGGGGAGCTGGAGCAGGAGCCCTACCAGACAGGCGCTGCATCAGCCCCCCAGCAGCAGGTTAGCGGTTGGACTTGGTCATCTTACTGGTCTCTTCCAACCAAAACAACAGCAGGAGGCTGGAGGCCAGACAGCGTGGCAGTGGGACAGACATGCCCACAGCCTCCAGGAACACGGGCCCCACAGCAGTGTCCCTGCTCCAGGAGCCACAGGCTGGGTCCGCACAGCCCAGCACAGCCCAGCACTGCCCTGAGCCGTGTGCTCCAGCCCGGGTGGGAGCACTGGGTGCTGCACCAGCTCTGATGAAAAGCAGCAATAAGGCTGTGGCAGAGCCCCGAGGCTCAGGAGGGCAGCGGGAGGGCCCGTGCCCTGTGGAGGCTCTGTGCCCTGCTGCTGCTGCCTGAACAAGACAGAAATCTGCAAGGAAATGTTGTTCCCTTGCACAGACAGAAATTAGGACTAAATTCAATTGTGTTCTGCACAGTGGGGGTTAAGTGGCCCTGCTCGCAGGACTGTTGGTGCTGCGACCCGCTGGTGCAGCAGGTCGTCATGGCAACCGATTATTTCTATTATGGTACATCTGCTTCACCTTCTGGGCCCAGCTTGGCCTTGGAAATTTCCAGTTTAAATACCTGCAGTATTTAAAAGTTTAAGTAACTGCACTGAGCATCAGCCCCATTCAGCCATCCCAGCAAGCACCCCTTGCCCACGGGCGCTGCTTTTGCCCCACAGATTCTGGGGCACACTCAGTCCCCCCTGGCCCTGCCAGGACACATCCCTGCAGAGGGTCCTACAGGCCATGCCCTGTGTGCCAGGCAGAGGGGACACACTGTGCAGCTGCCCACACCACCATGGCTCTCACACTGCTCCAGCATCCCCAGGCCCCATTTTTTCACATTTAACCATAGTGCACACCCACAGAGGGTTTATTTCGAGTTCAGGTTTTTACCCCACTAATGAGCTGGTGCTTTAAGAGGGAGAAAAAAAATCCCCTTGGCTGCCTAAACACTATTGATCGGTGCTGGGAAGCCACATGGACAAAGCACATGAAAGTCACCAGGTTCTGGTGCTGGGCACTGTCTCCAGAAGCAGGGCTGCAGGCAGGGCAGTACCAGGCAGTGATGGGAAAGGTATCACTGCCAAGCACAACGATCCCCCACTCCTGGTCCTGTGTCCCCTTCAGCCACCCCTGGCCTAGGCACCATGCCTGCTCTGCAGCCCTGCCCATGCAGGCAGCTGCTGACCAGAGTCCCAGGGGAGGGCAGGGGGTGTCCTGCCAGCTACGTGGTACAAGGATTTATCACCACAGCCTGCATGAAGCAGCTCAGACACAGGTCAGGCACAGCTGCCATGGCCCAGTCCAGCCAGCTGAGCAGAGCTGGAAGGCTGCAGCCCCCTGTGGCCCCACTGACCCCCTGGGCACTGTCCCAGCCTGCAGCCTCACTAGAGGAGGGGAGGCAATGCCAGCCTGCCCCCACTGCCAGGTGGAGAGGGCAGGGGACAGCATCCATCTGTGCACCACTGCATCTCCTCCCCTCCCCTGCCTTTCCTCTGGGCATCTTCAGGACAGATGGTGCAGGAAAAAATTTACCTCACGGTCATAACATGTGAGCAACACCACACCTGAGAGCTGCTGAAGGTGAGCAGCATTCCTGGCACAGCCTGGCCTGGCACAGGCTGTGTGCCCTGGGACAGCTGGGCACTGGCTGCAGAACTGCCCCTGCTGTTGTAGGGGCCAGGGCTGGGCCAGGCTGCCTCTGCCCTCTAGGTCAGTGTAATTCTGTGCCTTGTCTCAGGCTCTATAGGCCAACAACGTGACATGACCAGCCCTGGATGGCTGCAGGGCTGCCTGCACACAGCACTCGCCTCCAGGACAAGAAGTGGTGTGAAACAGAGCAAGGATTGCACTGACAACCTTTAAACAAATAAAGTACTTTCTGTTCTGTAGCAAAATTCGTGCCAAGCACCAAAACCTTCCCGGGCCACAGGCTGTGGAGAGGCTTGCTGAGTACAGTGATCAGAGGAGCTGGACACTGTCCTAAGGCTCAGCTGCTCCTGGAAGTCTTTAAGCCTGAACAGACACCACTTCCCTACAGGCCGAAGCGGGCTGGGGTGCGTCGCGGCGTCAGGGGCTCCCCCTGCTCCTTCCGCCCCGGGGTGTAGATTTTAGTAGATCTGCCAGGAGAGGACAAGGTGATTAGTGGAAGATGCAACCTTTCCTGTGCCAGAAAACCCCAGGGGCAGGTGTGATCCTGCACACAGCTCACTACTCCTGCCCTGTGGCCAGGCAGGGCCAGCACCCACCTTGCGCTGCCCAGCGGGTTTCGCCGCTCCTGCTCCTCGCGGCGGGCGCGCAGCTGCTCCTCTGCCAAAGCCATCTCCTCCTCCATGGCTGACACCTCCTCCTTAGCACGGCGGCGGTTCTCCTGAAGAAAGGCAGCAGGTCAGGGATAGAGGGAGGGCTGGCCAGCAGTTGACTCTGCAGGCCCTAGAACAGGCATTCCATAGGGCTGCTGTCTGCCAGCTTGTCCTGGACAGGAGACTCACCTGGCGTGACTTGCCAGCATGTTTGATACTGTAGAACATGGGGCCCAGCTCTGCCAGCCACTCTCCATCCACAGCAGTGACACACTGCATGTATTCCTGCGGGGACAGAAGGAAAGGCCAGGGTAGCAGGATGGCGCTCACAGGGCCTGGGCACCACTTCTAGAGCCGTGGCAGCTCCCTCCCTCCTTCACTTGCTGAAGGCACTTCTCAGGCTGGGACTATACCCCTTTCCAACAATTCTTCCAGCCTCAGAAGCTGCTGTGGGGTGGACTTGGCCACACCACAAAGAGGTTCAAACATGTCCCACATATGCCAGGAAAAAATACTGGTAACAGGACAAACAGAACTTAGCAGATGACTTGGACATGCCTTAGTTGGTATAAGACGAGAAAGGCTGAGGACTGCCCTGCTGACAGGTCCCAACCACAGCAAAGCCCTCCTGCCTCTCTCGGAGCACTCCTCACCCTTCTCACTAGCCCTCAGCTCACCTTGGTGGTCATCACCAGCTCATGATACACGATGTAGTCGGGTGTGTAGCCCATGCCAAAGAGAGAGCTGGTGGGGTGCAGGTGGCAGGGCATACCTGTGCGGATGTTCACGTACTCCCCAATGCCCTGCAGAGAGAAGCACGATGGGAACCCCTGCTCCCAGGCAGGGCCTCTCAGCCCCCCGACAAGCACAGACACCTCTCACCTTCAGCTTGGCAGCCTGATGGAAATAGGCAGCACAGATGCACTTCCTGACAATGTCCCAGTCAGTCCCACAGGACGCCAGGCTCATCCGCTGCTGCACCATGATGTCCTTGAGCTGGGCACGCACCTCCCGCACCTGCAGGGGCGTGAGTGGCAGCCAGGCCCCTTCCCAGTGCCAGGCTTCCCCCCCAGCCTCACCACCACAGTCTCACCTTCCGCATGGCCTTGGCATGGATGAAATGCTGGTTGCACCACAGCGTGGAATAGCTGTTGTTCTTCCACTGCAGGTAAACATTCAGGTAAGTCAAGTGATCACTCTCTGGAACTGCAAATTTCTCCCGCACTTGGTCGCTCTCCTCCTCTCGGCCCTGAAGGGTGAGCAAAGAACATGGGTTAGTCAAAGTGCAGGGGTAGGTCCCAAACTGCTGAAAGAGCAAACAGGTACCTTAGGCCGATAGAAGATGGCAGGCACAGACAACATGGAGACAATCAGCAAGATCTCCGAGCTGCAACCCATATCACAGGAGACTATAAGCATTTTAGAGAGTGCAGGATCCAGTGGGAACTCCACCATGAGACGTCCTGTTGAGGTGAGACCACCTGCAGGAACAGCACAGGGTTCAGCAACTGGGCAGGTCCCAGCCCGGGGGCTGACACTTGCCCCAGCATACAATGTTACCTGTGTTATCCAGGGCTCCCAGGATCCACAGCTGGTACATGGAGTTCAGCATGTTGTCCTCAGGGGGTGGATCCATGAAGTGGAACTGCAGCAGGTCCTGCACACCCAGGGACTTGAGCAGAAGCACGACGTTGGCCAGGTTGGTGCGCTGGATCTCGGGCACCGTGGTTGTCAGCAGCTCGTTCTTGTAGGCGCTTTGGGTGTAGAGCCTGGGGAAGAGATGCCAAGAGCATGCTCCTCTCTTCAGGCTGCTGTGTTCCCCACTGACCTACCAGCCATTGTGCAGCCAGGAGAAGCCAGGGAGGAGCCTCTGCCCTGTCCCAGGTGTGGCCCAAGGGGGCTGGGCTGCAACACCCCTCTCCAGCACAGTCCTTCCCTGGGTGCTGACCAGGCACAAAGCAAAGCCTTGAGAAAGCTAACTTTGGCTGGGCTGTTATCCCAAGAGCACCAAGGGTGAAGATGGGCAAGGGACACTGGAGCACATCCCTTCCTCTGCAGAGGAACTGGGTCCAAAAGAGAAGGCCTCAAGCGCTGCCTCCTGCCCTTATCCCCCAGGAGTTCAAGATAATGAAGAGCTCCAGTGAGAAACAAATACCTATAACCTGATGCCAAGCTGCAGACATGACAGGAATGGGAACACCAGTGAGATGCCTACCTGAAGCAGTGGCCTGGGCCTGTTCGGCCAGCTCGGCCTGCCCTCTGGTTGGCGTTGGCTTGACTGATGGGGTAGATCTGCAGTGCATCCATGCCTATGCGGGGGTTGAAAACCTGCAGGGCACAAGAACTGACTGAGCTAACAGGAAGTCTTGGTCACTACCATAGAATTTCCTCAACCCAACCTCAGAGATCACAGAAAGCAGCAGCAGAGATGGTGGCTTACCTTCAGCTTGCAGTAGCCTGAGTCAATCACAAACATGATGCCATCCACTGTCAGTGAGGTCTCTGCAATGTTTGTGGCGACAATGCACTTCCTGACCCCATCTGGAGCCTGCAAGCACAGGAGGTGTGTCAGACCAGGGCAGGGGGCTCTGTTCCTCAGGAAGAGTGCAGAGCAGCAGGGCCGAGCCCAGAAGAACAGGGCTGACTCCTGGAAAGCTGAAGGGACACGTGCTTCCTCTTGACCTCCACATGCAATACAAATGGCACATCTGCACCTCTCACTCATGCTCAGCAGTCTTCTCTGCACTAGTTTTCCCTGTCCCCACTCCCATCCCAGAGCACACATCAGCACCTTCTGGAAGATCTTGGCCTGCAAGTCAGATGGTAGCTGAGAATAGATAGGAAGTACAGCAAGAGCAGGTGCCTTCTCCAGCTCCTCAAGGTGCTCCACAATTTGCTCTGAGGTCACCTAGAAACAAAGAGAAATGTAAATGCAAGATTAAAACAACAAGGTGATAGGGCAGTGCCTGCCCTTCCAGCTCACCTCTATGTCCTCCTGGCCTGGCATGAAGACGAGGATGTCCCCTGGAGCACCAGACAGATGCACCTGCAGGGCTTGTTTCACTGCAGCCTCCACATAATCCTCCTGTGGGGTCTGAGAGGAACAGCCCAGGCTACAGACACCAATAATCCCACCTGCCCTGTCCCACACAGAGGCTGCACCACAGCACAGCTACTCCTCCTCTACCCTTTCTCCCCACCACAAACTGCAGTACCCCCAGGTCACAGCCTCCTCTCAGAGCTGGACTTCCCCCTGCAACACTGACCATACCTTGCTAAAGAGAATATCAACAGGAAAAGTGCGTCCAGGAATGTGGAAAATAGGAACGTTCCCAAAGAAGGAGGCAAACTTGTCTGCATCCATGGTAGCTGAGGTGACAACAAGCTTCAGATCTGAGCGTCGGGCCACCACCTAGAAAGCAGACAAAAGGAACAATGAGGAAGGGGAATCTGTGCATGGCTGCAGGCTGCTTCCAGCACAGCTGGGACAACAGCACAGGACAGATCTGCTGCTGTGCTCTAGAGGCACTGGCCACTGGTGCTAGGGAACGCACACACTGTGTGATCTGAGCAGCTAAGAGGACCCACCGACCTCAGTCCAGAAGGCTTAAGCCAGCAAAGATCTCTGTACTTATAGTTCCAGATGGCCCGCCAGGCCCTGGCAGCGCTGAGGCACTAGGGGAGATTTAACCTCCCAGGGCCAGGAGGCTGGAGCAGCACACAGAACTCGGCAGCTCTGCTTCCCGCTCCCAGGCCTGCCCCTGCCAACACCCAGTGCAAGCCCAGCTGCCTGCCCTGCCTCACCTCCCGGAGCAGGCCGAAGAGCACGTCGGTGTTGAGCGAGCGCTCGTGCGCCTCGTCCATGATGATGGCGCTGTAGTTGTCCAGGTCAGCCTCGCGCAGCGACTCGCGGAGCAGGATCCCGTCCGTCATGTACTTGATCACTGTCTTCTCAGAGGTGCAGTCCTCGAAGCGGATGGCGTAGCCCACCTTGGGCAGAGATGCCCGTGAGTCCCGCAGCAGCCGCGGGCACGGCCAACATGGCGGCCACGCGGCGGGGCTGGGTGCACCCGATCATGTCATAGTCTGTGTAGCCATCCTCGTGGAGGTACTGGGTCAGCTGAGTCGTCTTCCCGCTCCCTGTCTCCCCCACCACAATCACAATGCTGTTGTCTCTGAAAAAAGAGAAAAAAAAAGTGTTTCTCCACATGCCACGAAGAAGGGTTTGGCACCCACAGCCCTGGCGCCACCCAACCCCCACCCTGCCCAGGCAGCAGAGCTGCCACAGCCATGGAAAGCAACAGGCTTTGCTTCCTGAGGGTATGGCTTCCACATGGGCCACGTATCCAGGAGAATTTCCCACTGAGGTTCCTGAGATGCAGGCCGATGCCCTGGGTTGCTCTGACACCAGCTCTCAAGCACCATACCTGAGGATGGAGAGCAGCTCCTGCTGCACTGCGAAGATGGGCAGATACTGTCTCTGCTCCAGGATCGATTTCTTCTTGGCAAACTCACTGCTAGCTTCACTTTTCTCTTTCATGTGCTCAGCAAACTTCTGTTCAGTCCTAAGGAAACACCACAGGTCCTGAAACTGCCTCTCCACACACTGTTCTACGGCTACAGCCACATCCCTGGCTGAGCAGCACTAAGCCAAAGCAAGCTCCTACTTGTAATCCACTTTGCCATCTTCTGTCAGCATCTCATCCTTCTCCTCTTCTTTCTTGATCCCCATGATGTCTCCCAGTTTTGTGCCTGCCAGCTCCCAGTGTTTATGCTGAGCCTGGAAGGACAGAGAGCAGCAGAGCCCTGCCACAGCAAGCACTGACAAATCATTCTTCCCCAGTCCTACTCATAGGACTGGAAAAGCATATTAACCCCACAGCATCTCAGTGCTATGACACAGAATGCACACCCAATTCGTACACCAAGTCTCCCTCTTCCAGGGGACTTGGAGCAGAGCTTTCAGACACTGGTCTGGACACAGAGACTTCAAGCACAAGATGATCAACCCCCTCCTAAGAAAATGGTTCCAGCTGCAGACCCTTCTGTTACATTTGAAGTTAAACCTACACAAATACAAACCAGAGATAATATTGCTGTTCTTGATGGCTGCTCACAGCTTCCCTCTCACCTTCCTGTTTACTCTTACCCGATAGCAGTTTAGCCCACAGCATACACAGCTCAAACCCAGTTCAGTTTCAATTTACAGGAACACATCCGTACTTTCCCCAAGCTGTCACATAGCTTTAGAGGAAGTCCCTAAGAAACACCCCAAAGAACTCATGTGCTACCCAACTGCACAGTCCCCTTCACAGCTCTTTTGCTGAGACACCACAAGGTATACCCTGCTGCCTCACTGACTGCTGACTGTCCCTGGGCTACCTCGCATTCTCCCACTCCCCCCTACTTTCCCATAATCCAAGTGTCCCCTGGATCAGACTCCTCTGCATGAGTGCACAGTGATTCACATCCCAGGCAGCACCTGAGGAAATCACACAGCAGCTGCTTATGAGACAACACAGGGAGCTGGGCTGCCAGGACTGCCCAGGTCACAAAACCAGGAACTCCTCCCTGTCACTGCCACCAAAGCCAGTGTTCTGCAGAGGCCAAACAGGGGCCGTGAGGCACTGCTGACAGGCACAGGCCAAAAGGTCCCAGCGTACCCTCTTGCGCTCCTTTTGCTCCCGGTGCTTGCGCACCAGCTGGCTGCCCTTCCGGGCGATGATGGCCAGGTCCGAGGTGGCGTCCTTGACAGGGATGACTGGCTCTGGCTAGAGGGAAGAGGCACTGCTTCAGCAGAGAGCTCAGCCCTGGGGGGCTCCCTGTCCGCAGCAACTTCAGCCACCTGCTTCGTGAAGACAATCCTCCCGTCTAGGAAAGGGGGCACCAGGTTGTGCACCAGCAGATGCACTTTAGCAGAGTTATCCTCCTCAAAATCTTCATCCACCTCAATCCGATGAACCACACCACTGGTCAGCATGCGATTGGTCTCCCAGCGCTCGTTGTCCTGCAGGAAACAACAGGTCAGAACACAGGCAGAAGCCCCACAGAAGGCCTGAGAGATCACAGTACGAGGCTGAGCCCGGCTCTGGGCCTCACACTGGCAACAGGATGAAACGGATGGTTCTAGCCCAGGGAGGCCAGAAAAGCACCAGGGAAGAGGGAGCAACTGGAGGCAGCAGGCAGGGGAAACACAGACTGCCCCTAGGGAGCACCTGGTCAGCAGAACTGTCCCCAAGGAAACGCAGAACAGACATTGTTCACAGGCCCCTGCTACACTCAGAACATGCCTGCTCATGTGCTGAGGGTGGCAGCCCCCAGCATCAACTGCCCCCCCCCCAGCAGGGGCACAGCCCTCTGCACTGTTGCTGCCCCAGCACCACGACCACTGCAGCCTGATCGCCACCTCTGCCCACGCAGGGGGTGCTGGGCTGTACTTCCACAGCCACTTCACAACGATGTCCCCACGAGCCCTTGTCCGGCCTGGGCCAGGACACAGACTGTCCTGCTGCACCTGCGAGGCAGGCTGAGCCTTTGCTGCCAGCACAGCAGCCCGCCCAGGGGCAGCCATGCCCGCCCCACCTCGTTGATCTGCCGCCGCTGTGCGGAGATGCGCTTCTGCCTCTGCTTGTGCAGGTGCTGCTCTCGCTTCTTCACGTACTCCTCTGAGGAGTAGGCCAGGGGGTTGTGGAACTCGTCGTAGCCCTCGTCCATCATGTACCAGTCCCTGTCAGCTTGCTGGGAGGGGAGAGGTGTGGCTCAGAGCCCTGCCAGCCCTGTGGCCTGGCCCAGCATCCCCGAGCCCGCCCCCGGTCTGCGGGTCTGGTCGCCCTCCTCCGCCTGCCGCTCCTCCTCCGTCTCGAAGGCGATGCCCTCCTCCCCGTCCTCCCGCCGCCCTGCGGGGGGAGCTGGTCGGTCCAGGCTCCGCAGGAAACCCCTGGGAGCTGATCCGGTGGGGCACAGGGGGAGGGCCCTCAGGGGCCCCCCAGCCCAGGCTGCTCACCTCTCCCCCGGCTCAGCCGTGGTGTGGACCCCAGGTGCCGCCGGTCATCAGCCCACTCGTTGTACTTGTAGGACGGGGTGGGCAGCGGCGTCTTGTCTGAGTACCTGCTCCTCACAGACCTGGGACGACAGGGCACGGCAGGAATCAGAGCCAGGCACAGCTCCTGCACACCCTCCCCCACTGCAGCTCAGCAGCTCGTAGCCCCAGCAATCGGTACCTGTCCCGGTCTCTCCGGTCCGTAGCCCGGTGGCTGCGCTCCGAGTCCCGGCCGGAAGGCATGGGGGAGGGGGATTCCCACTGGGAGCGGCGGGTGCTGCTGGA